GCCTGTTTTCAACAGGATAAAAAAGTCATTGTTCTGTGATTGGCCATCTTCGCACGTGCAGCATGCGCACGTTTCGAAATTTCTTTGCTGTATATTGTTAACCGCCTTAAAACTTTGAGTCGTCGGCTGAACCAAGACGAAATTTATGGCGACCGACAACTAATTTCTTTGGCTCGCTTCACGTCGCTTAGGATGAATCAAACACAACTTTACTCTACTGAAGAAAGCTTAAAGCTTGTTGTAATGAATACTGTTTTCACTGTGGGCATGAAAATGGCAAATCAACCGAGGGAAGTTCCTATACAAACGGTTGTTTGGACTCACTGGTTTGCGACATATATCGATACCGATTTCAGGATTTTCGCTCAGCATCAAGGTTCTCAATTTCTTTGTTCTGTAGCTGTCGCTATATCATCTAAGCTCTATTCCGCTACTGATTTACACCGGCGAGAAATGACCCGCGATTGTAGCTTAATGCCGATTCAAAGTTGATTGCGCGGATAAAAATCAGCCCGATTTGTGAAAACCTGTCGAAGAAGTGGAACAGATTTTAGAAATTGGCTGATTTTTATGCAAGTTGGCGATCCAGGTAAAGCAGAAAAATTTGGCCATCAATTGACCTGTCCGAATGTAAGTAATAGTAATTGCAGCGAGTGGAGTACAATTCAGGGAGTAATCGCGAGAGGAATCTCAAAATCAGACGAGCGTGAAGCGCGAGGCCGATTTGAAATTACGAGCGCCATTACTCCCTAAATTGTACGACACGAGGTCCAATTACTAATTAATCGTATCTATAACAAATTTCGGAATTAAAAATGTCTTATGAGAACTTCTTTTGAGCGAAAACGTCTGCAGCGCTTTTCCTAAGTTTTGAAAACTGAACGAAACATTGCAAAGGAAGCCATTGAAACGTGCGTAATTGACGTGCAAATCACGTGGGTATCCAATTACGTGTATCCAATTACAAAAGTTCAAATCGGACACCTGTAGTTGGACACCCAGGT